GGGCGGTGCGGTCCGCCCTCATGGACGCACCGCCCGGGCAAAGCTGCAGCCGCCTGAGGCTCACTACAGAGCGCTCGGGCGGCTGCAGCATGAGCGGGGCCGGCGCTCCTGGCGGCGCCCCCTCCCAAGGGGCGCCCTAGGCGGCTGCCTAGTCCGCCTTACAGGTAGCGCCGGCCCTGAGCTTGATTTAGCATAGATCTTTTTTTTTTTGTTGTTTTTTTTTTACTTTGCTACAATACAAACCTTAATTGCTAAGACACATTATATAGAATGTTCAATTTTCAAGATGCTTTTTAAATCTTATACAGATCCCCTGGTAAAACGCTAAAAAAAAATTCAAAGAAATAAAAATCAGTGCAAGGACATGCATACACACAAGGTTTTTTAATAAAGTGTTACTTGTCAAAAAAAAAATCAAAGCACATTTCGCATTTAAGTCCCAAGGATTAGATTGAAAGGTGTGCAAGTCGTGTGTTTTTATTTAAGCTAATTTTGTCTGAAAGTTTGCATTTCACTACATTCCCGACAGATCAATCTTTCTTGTCTTTCTGGCAGACACATTCTGTATACACTGCTTTTTCTTTTTATATTTGCTGTTCCGGGTTGGAACGTATAAATTCCGGAGAGTTCTTGTCAATAATGCATTGTCTTAAAAAACAATTCTTTTTCTTAAAAGGTTAAAAAGAAACGCAAAAATATTTCAGTATGTATTTCAATCTTAAATAAAGCAATGCGTTAATGAACTGCTGACCTGTTGGGGTCTGATATTTGGCATTAAATCCAGCAAAGAGAGGGGCAGTGAGGTCAGAGAGTGCGCTAAACTAATGAAAGCTCTGTGTTCAACAAGCAATTACGGAGACAGTTCATTATTTTTACATTATGTGGGATCACTTTGGGTCACATTCTCAGCTCTGCGTTTTCAAATGTCACCTTGAAGTAATATGTGAATTCTATGGTAACACAACCTATAAAAAGCATCAGCTCTGGAACTCTTTAAATCAGAGCTGAGCCTACAAAAGCATGTTTTTCTTGAATTCATAAACCTGGCCAAGAAAGGAGTCCGCATCTGTGTATGTGAATGTGTAGGCCCTCTAGTGGTTAAACAGTTAAAAGAACATGCAAACATGGACTACATGTTTTAAGTGGCATCTTTACATTAAGGAGCCACTCGACCCATATAAAGTATGTGTCCCCCTCCCCCTCCCCCCTCCCCCTGCTACTATTGATCTGAACTTGATGAAGTGCTTAATGTGTGAGGATATGCTATTGTTTTATTAAAGTGCTAATTTCCTTTTTAAAACAGCACTTTTATTAATAATTGCAGGTAACCTCCCCAGCTGTCAGACAGCCGTAGAGGTTATCTTGCCGATTCTGTTAACGGAACGGAACTGGCTTGTTCCCCAAGTAAAAGTGTCAGCGCATGTATGCTTGTCCACACCGAACATTTGAGCTCTGCGCAGGCTCCCTGTCCGCTGAGACAATTTAGGTTGAAAGCCATGTTCACAGCTCAAAATCAGAGACTTCTCAATGAGAAACCTCTAAATGGTTGTTTTCCCTGGCACAGACTGAAGGTATTTGCTGGGGGAAAAGGGGAGAGCTTGCAAAGGCTGCAGACAGCAGATCTGCAGCTTTTGCAAACTGTTTTTAGATATAACCCAAATAAAAACGTGCAGCAAAAAATGCATATGTTTTCACTGAGGGATATCTACTAAATAGCGATTTTTATTTATGCATGTATTTATTTTTCCTTTTGGCAATGGAGTGTGCCTTCCACACAAAGAAATTTCACAAAACACCCAAAAAAACTCACTTGATAAATAAATTAATACAATGGTTCCCCTTTTGACCATATCTGAACTGTCTGATATCTGTTCTATATTAATTTAATCCAGAGGCTGGGTTACACAATATGGACATTGATAAATCTTGTGTACAATGTACAATAGATTGTGTACAATGTACAATAGATTGTCTGAATGCTTCTGAATGGAGTATATTTGATAATCTGGTTCCAGGTACTTAAAAGTTAGCGGATGTTTCTTAATTTGGAAAGCTGTTTTTTTTTTTTTTTCATCTGAGTGTCTTTCAAAGCTAGATAAAGATGGATTAAAACAATGAAAGGGATGTTGCATACATGTTTTTATTTGGGATATATCTACTAAATAGTGATATTTTATTTTATTTTGTTGTACTTGGGCACTGGAATATCTCTTTAACTCTGTTGCATCCCTTACACCCACCAGTAGTGATGTCCCGAACGGTTCGCGAACGGTTAGCCGCGAACGGTTCGCCACGGACTCATCATTGAGTAAACTTTGACCCTGTACCTCACAGTCAGCAGACACATTCCAGCCAATCAGCAGCAGACCCTCCCTCCCAGATCCTCCCACCTCCTGGACAGCTCACTAAGAATGTAGCTTCAAAATGGATGCTGTCCAGGAGGTCGGAGGGCCTGGGAGGGAGGGTCTGCTGCTGATTGGCTGGAATGTGTCTGCTGACTGTGAGGTACAGGGTCAAAGTTTACTCAATGATGAGTCTATGGTGAACCGTTCGTGGCGAACCGTTTGCGAACCGTTCGGCGAACCGTTCGGCGAACCGTTCGGGACATCACTACCCACCAGCCCTTCAATAGCATTCTTAGGTGGAAGGAAAAAGAGAAATCTGAAGAAATATTGGAAAATAAAACATTTTAGAGACAACATGGTATACCTTACTTTGCAACATTCACATATAGCAACATAGAAGTAGAAACAAAATGTTTCTCCCGTACTATAGGTGTAACAAAAAAAGACAAATACAAATAGTAAAATACTTTCTAATGCTTGCTGGTAGAGAACCCAATGGCATTTCTGGGAATAAAGCTTTCTAAAATTCCATAAGAATGTAAAAATAATGTTTAATGTGGGTATAATGCCCACATAGAATAAGTCCAGCACGCCATATATCTGTATAATACAAGGCATTGCAGACTGCTTTTGCAGCCTGCAAGGAATCCTTGTGGTATATCTACCCTGCTTCACTGGCTGCAAGGGAGGAAAACAGGTTTGATTATACAGTCTCTCTGCATAAATGCAGAGGGACGGTATATATTCCTGGCAAATAAACCTTTTTTTGCAAAAGTGTGAAAAACAGCAATGGAGCACAAATATGTTTACTTTCAGATTTTGGGCCTTAGTATTTTTTTGCATGACTTTCCAATGTAAAATGAACATTTATACAAATACATATAAGTTGCTGGGAGGAACAATTTAATGAAGAAAAAGGCTTTTCTAGTTAACGTTACATATATATATATATATATTGTAAATTAATAGTTCTTATATTAATACATTTATCTGAAAATGTGCTGGGAAAATAACTGACCACAAATCACATTAAACAAGTAGTTACATTCATTTAATTGTTAATGCCAGATAGTCTGACAAACAAATTAAGGTAAAGTGCAGATATAGTTATTCACACATTGAACACTCCTGCACGAATAAGGTAAATGTATTCGTTTTACAAAGCTGTGTTTTTCTTTGCGCCAAATTCAAATTTGACCAAAAAAACACAAAAGTAGTTTTACAGCTGCATCCAAAATATACTGTACAGAAAAAAAAGATAAAAACGCATAAATTGACTATAAAACAGTCAATACTTCTCTGCATTCATGAACGGCAATGCATAGGTAGCAAAAGACGATGAAAAATACCAGCAACAATGAAACCATAAATTACATATACTTATATTTAAATACTGGTGCTGGGCTTCTTTTAAATGTCAATCAACCAATGTCATATATGAATGTATGTAGAAACACTTTCATCTTTAAATAGATTCCATACTGAATGCCGTTAGTGCACGGATTCTAATTTCCATTTTATGAACACTTCATCTTTTGCCTCAAGTACTCTATATACATTTCCATATTTCTGAATCTAGAAGGTTGAGTTTTAGACTTTGCTTGTTTGCATGTGCCCATTTATCTCAGAATTTCGAGAAGGCAACATTGTCTCTTGAACTCGACTGCTTTTTTCTTGCCTATTCTCTGTGAGGTCAGCGTCTTTGATGCCGTTACTCTTGCGAAGGCAGAGAACCTTCTGGAAGCTCTGCTTGAAATTGTCTGAGAGGAAACCATAAAGGATGGGGTTGGCGCAACTGTTGGCGTAAGATAGGATAACCACAAAAAAATAAATTCCAACAAAGGCTGGCTCCTCGGGCACAATAAATGTTAAATTTACAATGTTAAGTATGTAGAACGGAAGCCAGCAGAATACAAAAACCGCTACTATAATGACAACCATTCTTGTGACTTTGCGTTCTGATCTTCGACGCCTTGTGGATCCAACTCGGAGACCTGATGACTTTACCTTAATGACAATTAAAAGGTAACAGAGGCATATCACCAGCAGAGGTCCAAAGAAACCCAACACAGAAGTGTAGATTATAAACGCCGTAGACCAGGTATATATAGGTTCTGGCCAATTTATGTTGCAGGTGAGTAAATCTTGCTGGACATCTGAGAAGATGATGACTGGGAGGACAACTAGGAATGAAAAAGTCCAAACTGTGGCACTAATAAGTTTTGCCACCCTAGGTCTCCTCCACTTTGTTGATTTGATAGGATGGACCACTGCCAAGTAGCGGTCAATACTCATCACAGTAAGGCAAAATATGCTGGTGAATTGGTTGATGCCATCCACTGTCATCACTAGTCTGCAAAGAAATGTTCCAAATGGCCAATAGGAGATAGCATTTTGGGTAGCAAGAAAAGGCAGCCCCAACATAAAAAGTACATCAGCCACAGCCAGATTCAGGATGTAAATGTTGGTTACAGTCTTCATTTTAGCATAACGGAGGACCACGTAGATGACCAATGTGTTGCCGCTAAGTCCAATGGCACATACCAACAGGTAAATAAAGGGGATTAGGATAGAACTCATTCCTGATATTGAAGATTCAACCACAGTCCCATTGTCAGTAATGTTTCTGCAAGAGGTGAGGTTAGTGTTCACTTCATTGGGTTCTGAGAAAGAAACCATTGGGACGGATATAGGCTCCATTGCTTTTCTGTAACAATTCTTCAAGGGAAAGAAGTCATATGTGGTAGCATCACTGCCACTAAAAGAAATAAGGGGGGGGGGGGAAAGCATTAATACAAAACAACGGTGACTAGTTTACAATGAGCTCTACTAAGTATCAAACTTGTCAAGGTCTATGGAGAATTCTTTTAATTAGTCAATTAAAAAACTAATTGTTTAACCTTCCTGGAGACCAACACACACAAACGCACACACACATTCACAAGGCTACAAGGTTCCCCTTGAAGAACGTAAACCAGAGGCAAAGAGGCATAGTTGCTTTGATTTACTAGGAAGAAAGCCACAGCAAAAGATATTCAGAAAACTTACAATTCGCATCCTTCTAATATGTTGCCATAACAACAATCACTAAGGATGGTATATCAATGAGCATTCTATACCTCGACCACCTGGAATGTTCCAAGTATTAGCGAAAGACCTTCCAACTAACATGCTACAACATAGTCATTTTTACCTCTATAAAAAAAAAATCAGTTGAAAAAAATGTTTTATGCATGCTATAAAACTTTTCGTAACTTTTTTCTTTGCAGGAAATTAAATAATTCACACAATAACAGCACTTTCCTGACAGTGTTTGCATGGTTGCAAGGTTTCCTTCAATCATACGAACAGATATGGTTTACATCAGTAACATTATATCATGGTAATTTAAAAAAAATTATCATCCCAACATGAACCTGAAGAATAACAGTTCTAACTACACAACTTTATGTAGCTTGTTGGAAATAATGAGAATTCCGTTCACAGGAGGACATTTAACTAGGTCTGTCCCCAAGAGCGCTAACATTTCTAAACATGATAGGTCTTATTCAGAAATAATGCCAAAAGCTTCCTCCACATTTCTAAGGAAATCTGAAACAGCACAATTTTCCTGCGGACTCCTATGTAATTTTCTTGAAAATAGTTTACTGCTAAAATCAAATGAATTTTTTGCAGCTTTGTGCATCGGAGAATTTGCAGTGTCCCTAATTCTTTTAAATGCTACTGAGCCATTCTTCTGTGTTATTGTCTTCTTTCGCACCCCCAGCGCAGTTACTTCAAATTGTTGTACAGTTTTTACTTGACCCCTTTAGCTATCAGAAACTAAATTTCAAGTCCAAGTATTTTTTGTTTCCTGTTTGCTATTATTTTGAAGAATCTTACAGATGTAGTCATTATCGACAGAAATATTACTAATCAGGATTTCAATAGATTGTGTTACACTGTAGTTACTTTGAATAATTTGGTATTGGCAGAGTGACTCTAGAAGAGACCTTTGCTTTCACAATGTTCCTAGTATCTAGAACAGAACTACCAAGCATCAATAAAGCTGTAGTAACAACACTCACAAACTGAATTCCTACAATCCATACTAGGCACCTTTGTAGTGACACATTTATGGAGCTAATATGTGCCTTGAAAGCCAAATGGTCATAGGCAAGGCAATTAAAAAAAAAAAAAAAAAAACATTCCAAAAGAATTCTAGATGTCAAACATTCTAAACTTCCACCAACAGTAGGATCAGCAACTGTAGGCATTGTCTGAGCAGATTCTAGGCTAATTGGTCTATGGCAGCCATTTTTTCGCATTTAGGCAAAATCAAGATTTCTATTCAAAATTGTACACCATATAATGATTGAAGAGGAACTCACATTCCTGGATTTTTAATGTCATGTTTTCTTCTCCCAATATTTCACAAATATGTATTTGTGCGTTGTAAAAAATTAAATTAAAGATAGAAATGCAGACCTCTTTATCCTGCCACTGGGCGCCTCCATCTTAGCTACCTGTCAATTATTGTTATAAGCTCCGCCCTATGCACCTTGTAGCCAGCATAGAGAAGTCAAACAATGTTTCAACTTCTCCTCTTCATTTGCATTGCGTGCCCTGGCTTTGCCTTTTCTGAACTGGATTATAATGTAATTTGCTAAATCTTTAATATAAATGTAATATAATATGACAAGCATCTTGGGTTAACACTGTGTTTTACACAGTTATGTAAATTTCAGTTAAGTGACAGTTCCTCTTGAATTATTAATTATATATTTAAAGCACAGGAATGTAGGGACTATGATAAAAAATAATAAATTGACTTTGTCATAGCTATTTAATAATTTTCTCTTATTTTATTATTAATAATTTTTATACCTGATTTATATTCTTTCATACTGCAAAGCGTTATTTTTTTATGTTACACCTGCATATCAAGTGTTAAGTGTATTCAAACAAAAAAAATTTATCTAATAAATTGATAAGTTGTCTGCTTTTGATAAAAAAATGTCTCCTGCAATGGCTAATTATCTATCTATCAATCAGTATTTGATATTTTTGTTTGTTGTACATTTCAAAAATATAATATTTATCTAAAAGAAAATACATATATCTCTACCTAATACTAGTTTTGCAATCTTTTTTTTTTTTTTTTTAAAGACTCCTCTTCGATACACATAGAAACACATAATGTGGCGGCAGATAAGAACCATTTGGCCCATCTACACATTTTGTCAAAGTCCAGAGATCTAGAACAGTTCAGTGTTCCATTTTAGAAACCAGAATGCAGCATTTTTGCCGATTACTAAGATTATTTAGTTATATAAAATGAATGATTGGTATACCAGTCCCCTTACCTGTAATCAGCTATAGTTTATAAATTTCTTCAGTTTCCCTTGATACGTCTGTCGCTTCTATAAATGATAATTTTCCTTCCCTCACCGTAGGTATCTAAAGCTTTCACTGAGATTAAAGGGACTGCAATCGTCTTGTCTTAACCCCTTAATGACACATGACGGAAATATTCCGTCATGATTCCCTTTTATTCCAAAAGTTGTGTCCTTAAGGGGTTAAACATGCTCATATATAGATTCTAGTAAACACGTAGACATTTACTAAAATATTTCTCAACATAGAAGGACTTTTCTATATTTTCTATAAAGTGACGATGGTACCCACTAGGGTACATCCAGAGTAAGCTGAATTTTGCCTTGCCCATTGATTGTGCCATGTATTTTGTCTACTTGGAGAGGCAGGAGATCTGTATCCCTTTATGGCACAGATCTTTTTTCACAGATCCTTCTCTAAAATACTGTATTACCAACAGATAACACAAAACAGTATATACCACAGGATTGAAAGTCTCTGGAATAAAACAAGATAGAATAGGGATTAATACAACTGAAAAGGGATTAATAAGAATAAGACAGATTGGCTCCTGTATATTGAGCCTCTTGAATAGGGCAGGATAGATGCAAGGGTGCAGAGTGAGGCTGGCTAGATGTTTGGATATAGGGTTTCTAGACAAAGGTAGTATAGACTCTTGGAGTTAAGATGGAGTAAAGCAGGAGGGATGATAGGATATAGAATCTCTGGGATAAGGCAGGATGGATGAAAGGATATAGAGTCTATGGAATAACACACAATGGATGCTAGCATACAGAGTCTATGGAATAAGGCTGAATGGATGCTAGGATACAGAGTCTCTGGAATAAGGCAGGATGGATCATAGGATATAAAGTCTCTGGAATAAGACAGGATGGATGTTAGGGTACAGAGTGTATGGAATATGGCAGGATGGATGGTAGGATACAGTGTCTCTGGAATAAGGCAGGATGGATGATAGGATATAGAGTCTCTGGAATAAGGCAGGATGGATGCTAGGGTACAGAGTCTTCAGAATAGGGCACGATGGATGGGAGGATATAGAGTCTCTAGAGTAAGGCAGGATGGATGATATGATACAGAATCTCTGGAAAAAGGCAGGAGGGATGCTTGGATACAGAGTCTGCAGAATAAGGCAGGATGGATGCTAGGATATAGAGTCTCTGGAATAAGGCAGGATGGATGCTATTGTACAGAGTCTATGGAATATGGCAGGATGGATGGTAGGATACAGAGGCTCTGGAATAGGGCAGGATGGATAATAGGATATAGAGTCTCTGGATTAGAGTCTCTGGATTAGAGGGACAAAGGTTTAAAAATAATATCAGGAAGTATTACTTTACTGAGAGGGTAGTGGATGCATGGAATAGCCTTGCAGCTGAAGTGGTAGAGGTTAACACAGTAAAGGAGTTTAAGCATTCGTGGGATAGGCATAAGGCTATCCTAACTATAAGATAAGGCCAGGGACTAATGAAAGTATTTAGAAAATTGGGCAGACTAGATGGGCCGAATGGTTCTTATCTGCCGTCACATTCTATGTTTCTATGATTAAGGCAGGATGGATGAAAGGATATAGAGTCTCTGGAATAACACACAATGGATGCTAGGATACAGAGTCTATGGAATAAGGCTGAATGGATGCTAGGATACAGAGTCTCTGAAATAAGGCAGGATGGATGATAGGATATATAGTCTCTGGAATAAGGCAAGATGGGTGTTAGGGTATAGAGTCTATGGAATATGGCAGGATGGATGGTAGGATACAGAGTCTCTGGAATAAGGCTGGATTAAAGGATATAGAGTATCTGGAATAAGGCAGGATGGATGCTAGGATACAGAGTCTCTGGGATAAGGCATGATGGATGATAGAATATAGAGTCTCTGGAATAAGGCAGGATGGATGCTAGGATACAGAGTCTCTGGAATAAGGCAGGATGGATGATAGGATATAGAGTCTCTGGAATAAGGCAGGATGGATGCTAAGGTACAGAGTATGGAATAAGGCAGGATGGGTGATAGGATACAGAGTCTCTGGAATAAGGCTGGTTGGATGATAGGATATAGAGTCTCTGGAATAAGGTAGGGTGGATGATAGGATACAGAGTCTATGGAATAAGACAGGATGGATGATAGGATACAGAGTCTCTGGAATAAGGCAGGATGGATGATAGGATATAGAGTCTCTGGAATAAGGTAGGGTGGGTGATAGGATACAGAGTCTATGGAATAAGACAGGATGGATGATAGGATACAGAGTCTCTGGAATAAGGCAGGATGGATGATAGGATATAGAGTCTCTGGAATAATGTAGGATGGATGATAGGATGGGAAGTAGAGTTTCTGGATCTTATGATGTAGTAGGGCCTACAGAATAACTGACAAAACAAACCAATTCAGGT